ATTAAAATTTGAAGAAACTATAAGTACCTCAAGAATGATTTTTCCAAATAATAAAATCAAAGACTAGAGGCGAAAATTCTCAGAGATTGAAATTATTACTTGTTGGCTTACGATAATTGCAGAAATGAACATGTACTTTTTATAAACTTAATTTTGAATTTTAATATTCATGCATGGACTACGTAGGTATAATTCTAGACGTTAGAACAAAATGCAAATATCTGATCTTGTTTTAACCTTAAAATAGAAAAACAGAAGCCGGTTAGTTTCCCCTACTTACTTTGGTTCAAATCCAATGTTATTGTCAGCGTTCGAAAGAGCGTATTTTCCTAATTAAACACATGAAAATGAACATGTCATTGATCTAGAAATACTAAACTTGTTCCAAATAATCTGCAGAAAACAACAGAAAGGAAAGTTTTGCCCCCATCAAGTCAGAAACCAAAAGTAAAGCAAAACTGTGTTAAAAAAACCCTAAACTAATCTGATATATATATATATATATATATAGCAGAATGAGAGCAGGGTATGGTATATCAATGTGATGATCAGTGCAAATATACATGAATACATACAGAGGTCAGAGTACTGTAGTAGAGAGAGAAAATAAAGACAAGAGAAAAGGGAAGGAGGAAGGGGAGAGAAATAGAATCATTTTAACAAGAAAGCACGTCAAGGAAGGTTCCAAGTTAGTGAATCAAAAAATTTGTGCGCAGTGTTTACACTCCAAAAGATTCCGCCACCTGCGTCCATTGTTTCAGTGTACTCTCTCTTCTTCAATTTATCTCTCTCTCAAAGAATCACTTCTCTCTCCTTTCTCTGATGGCGTGTAATCCTCACTCACCTTAATTTCTTTTATTTTCTCATTATTTCAACTCATCATTAATACATCCTGCTTTTAATTAATGCATTACCTTATACTATATCAAGCTTTAAGATTGAGCTTAATTACTTTCATTTTTTATATATATTGATGATTCAAACACTTTTTTTGTTTTCTTTTTTATTATTGCAAAAAGGAAGAGCTAATGTGCCACTTTGATCTTAATTCTTAAATGTTACTGGCTTCGTATCAAAAGTTTTGATTCTAAATATAAAGTCACTTATAATATATTTAACACTTGTTTTCAATTTTATCTTTTTTTAATTCACATTGGAAAGAGGAAAAAAGATATGAGAATAATTTATAAATATAGAGAAAGAACTTTAATAAGGGTAAAATTAAAATTTTTTTTATCAATTTAATACATTTCTTAGTATATAAAAATGTCTTACAAGTCATGACTTTTTTTTTTTTGGCCAACATGAGTCATGACTTATACTAAAGATGACTTATATTAAGGATTGAAGTGGTAAGGAACAAAATTGAGACTACAACAAAATGATATATTAAAAGAGAATGTGTAAATATTAGAAATAGTTAGATAGCCTATACTAGCAACATTGAAAGAAAGAAACCTGCTTTTAGGAATTACATCAATATGATAAAAAGAAAAATTGTAAATAAATGATAATATTTCCTACCATGTGATTGAAGGAATATTGGGAGTAAGAGTGTTCACGGAATTGGACGAAATAGAGATAATCCCATCTTGATCTCGTCCTGATAATTGTGATGGGATAGCTTTTCTGTTTTATGTCCTGTTTCGACATAACCGGAGTGGGACACTGATGAACACCCTTAATTGGAAGAAAGAACTAGAAGGTGCAAGAAATACTTATCAACACAGTGGATGAAATGCTTAGTTACACTTACCGGCAAAGTGGGATATTCAATACTTTCATTTTATATCAAACTTAATTAAATCGAACAAAACAAATCAGTTGTATTCAAATATAATTTTTTTTATCAGTATTAAAATATAAATTTTATTGGGTTAAAAAACGTGTGTGCATATTGTACCTAATCGGTGTATTTAGTTCAATTTTTTAACATTTATGTTTACTTTTATTCATATTTAGTTCAATCCAAGATTTGAGCGTTACTATTGAATAACAAATAACTAGAGCGAATCCGTTTCTTTGAACAAAGTCCCAACGTTATCGACTTATCGTTTACTCTTATGAACACTAAAATATAACAAAACATAAAAATCATTATTCTTTTTATCACTCTCTTTCAAACTTCATTCAAATATTTATTTTCATAACCGGTTGTATATTATATTCACATTTTTTTTTATTAACCGGTATATGCTTCAGTGGTGCAACATCATCAAGAGAAAATCCGTTTCGTCATTCACATTATCAAATTAAAAATCGAATCAATTAAATCAAATTCCCCATAAAAAATTTATATTCGATTTGCAAATCACACAACGAAAGAAGAAAAGATCACTAAGTAGTACATATAATTAGAAGGTGGGTTCCTAAGGTTGTTTGGGAAAAAAATTACTTAGGTGCTAAGATTAACGGACTTAGCTTGTTACAAACGAATATCTCCATGTGAACACACAGTAGTATTAACAAAATATTCGGCTTCTTTAATTATGACATGTTTCAGAATGGGGAAAAGTGATAAATCCAATATGACAATTAAAAGTCATGAGGCACTAAATAAACCAATCCTTTGACACATACAATTAACCACCATCAAGTATTTTATTATATACAGTACTTGCCAAAAATTAAGGATTAAAGAAGAATATTAAAAAACACGAAAGAAAGAAAGCCTTTGGATCGGATGTGCAATTGTTTTTGAACGCACATTTCGTACTTAAGCCTTAGGAAGAGGCAGATTCTATGTTTAATAACTTTTAAGAAGTGCTTATTAATTAACTTAAAATTATTATTAATTAATTAGGACCACCTCTATTGTGTGATATGCCCTTGAGTAAAGCGACGTAGATCTGTAAGTATATATGCCATAGTAAAGCGAGCATTTTAACTCATAGGGGTAACTGTTTTTAATCCTAGGGGTAACTTTATAATTAATAGAGCTGACTCTCTTTATAAATCAATCAATTAATAAATTGCTGAGTGGCGCACTAATCATATGTGCTTTGACTCGTACTGAACAACCAAAGGTCGCATGGCTAGCTGTAATCTTGTAAAAGCCTGGGGGATTAATCAAAGTTCTTCTATGTATAAGTATATTCTATCTCTGCTTTTTAATATAAGAAGTAGTTAAGAGCTAGATTTGGTCCAAACCATCAGACCTTAACCCATTTTTCTCTCTCATCTTTTCTCAAAATATCCTTATTAATTGTAAGGGTTTCCTCTAAAGGACAACTCCAATTATCCAATGCACATGATTGAAGAAGATATTTTGGGAAAACCAACACATGATAAATAACTAATTTAACTGATTTTTTTAATACTCTCAAACTAGTTGTATAGCTTTCATATTAAGGACAAGAGATAGTATTAAAAAAAAGAAGCAGTTCTTTAACACACACCTACACACGTTTTTAGAACATTATTAGTTGATTTTCGTAGAGAGAGGATATCAGATAATAAATCAAACAAATCTTGAAAATTATATAATTTAAATGTATTAAAGATTTTTTTCTCAGAGAAGAGAAAAAAGAAATACAACTAAGCATACTGGTTACATATAAAGTGGGGAAGGGTGGATTACGCCCTCTATTGATCCAACTTTATTAACTTAGTGCATTTTGAAGGGGCTCGGGTGATAGTGATATAACCAATACCAAAAACATAAAATTGAACATAGGAATGGTGATTAAGCTGGCTCTGAAGAACGCGTTTGGCACTAAACTAAAGACACGCAGTTTACTAAAGGAAAGTGCTTGGCTGGATTTTTGGCTTGGCTACACACACATAAGAACATCGTTCTTATGTGTGCATTCATAGAAAATAATCAAGCAAAAGGAGAATCCTACAAAAAAAAATTTAGAATTACTAAATTTTAAATCAGATTTAGTAACAACACTTAATAGGTTTTGACAACACTGAATTTGTAAATAACAACATATTTTTATAAGAATTTTGTATTTGAAATTTGGCAATTTCAAACTTTTTTTTGTGGGATTCTCCCAACAAAGTAACCATTTTATTATTATATATAACCATAAAAACTCACTCATCATAACTTCATAGGAGAGCTCTAATAACATTTAATTGTAGCCCTTGAAGGAGAAAAAAAAGGTAACGATTTCTCATTTGTTTTGCAGTGGCTCACAGTGTAAACCCTTCAAGATTTTTGTCTTTTTGACGTTTTCTGAGATCAAAGAATGAATGAACCCTTTAATTAGCATTTTATTAATTGTTGGACTACTAGTATGTGCAGACTCGTTCATTTTCCATTTTACATTTTAATTTACTGATTCTTTGTTTTAGCTTCCTTGATCCACCACAACTATATATTAAGAAGAAACGTGTGTGTATGGATATCATAAAACAGTTGTTATTTTAGTATTCATATCGAGGACCATAGTTTTGAACCTAATTTAATTATATAATAACATTTTTAGAGATTATATTCTCTTAATGTTTATGGAAATTTAAGACACATTAAATGTTTTATTACCATAACCTCAAAAAACTTCACTCACCATGAGCTTCATAGGATAAAAGCATACATATATAATAACATTATCTAATCACATTAATCAATAAAATAAATAATAGAAATGAATTTAGATAGCTCAGTTCTTTCATCTTTATAGGTTCGTCGAAGTTGTTCAAAAACACTATTGATGCATAGTTATCTTTTAATGAATTTTGATGTGTTGTTAGATACTGATTTAGTTTACAAATTGGGGTTGAATTTTGATAAATCTAATTAACTTGTTTTTGCCTCTAATTTAGTTTTTGGAATTACAAGTTTTGAAGTGCGAATACGTATAAGAATTTTCATATGAATCTATGATGCATTTGCTTCTGGCATATTTTATGATCAATCCATGTCTCTGTTCTCGAAGAAGAATGATGATATTGATAAGCTATGAAACAATGGGAAAAGAGGATGAAACACTAGCAGTAACATTTAAACTTCCATTCCACTAAACGTTAAAGATACCCATACAGGCGATACCAAACAAAAAGCATTCGAAGATTCCATTTACTTTATTTGACATGCTAAACGTACTTATGTTTCATCATATATATCCCATTCCTTCCAACATACTAAATGGGACCATATTCATAAGAGATCTCCAACATGTTACAGTTTACTATCAATCACAGGACAGCTCCCACATTTTACATTCCTTATTCGAGAAATGTAGTCATTTATGACAAGGAATGCACGTGCTACTTGTCGCATGGTCAAGATTCTTGGCAACTGTTGATTCAGAATTTGTTGCCTCAAGATATCAGCCTGAGATGAACAAGATATACATATATATATATATATATATATATATGTAGGTTAGACTTTAAGAGTGTGCTTGATGATGACCAAGATATTGAAAATAGAAACAACACAGTAAATGATTCACTACTAGACAAGTGACTAATAAGGCAAAATAATGAAACTAGGTAGTTTTATCGCATTATTTAATTTACCTGATGGAGGATTGCTTCCAAACTGTCAAGATTTTTCATACCAAGTGCCATTTGATCCATGTGTTGGGCAACATTTCCACAACCAGTGGGTCCGAGGGAGGCTGCTGATGAGGAAAGTGTCTCTGAAAGATTTTGATGCAACATTCCCATGGCTTGTGACAAAGCATCCTCAGCCTGAAACGAAGACTGCTGCAAATTATACAACCCTATCAATTGGTCCTCTGTTAATGGCTCCAGCTGGTCCCTCACTATCTGGAATCAACATAGTACATCTCATAAAAGAATCAAGATGACATATTTCACCATACTAAGGGTTAACTTTTGCCTCGCAAGTATTCATGAATGGGTATCTGGAATTGTTTTTTTTTTTTGGGGGGGGGCTTAATATCGCTTCATAAATGTTAAAAAGGTAACAATATTGCCTTTTCTGTGTAAAAAAGTTAACGGTAAATATTAGTTTTTGAAAGGTTAGGGTAAGATTTTTTTTTTTTAACACTTACATGACAATATTGAGTGTAAAAACAAAAAAGCTTTTAAATACTCACTACGCTTTCATAAATAATTTGGGGAAAAAAATTACCCTTAAGCCTTCCAATGCAGAGATTAAGCAACTTGGGAAACAAGGATCAAACTAGAGCATTTACCTTGAGAAGATCAGATGATCGGAATCCAGCTAACCACATAAAACATCTTTCGAGAGGCGTCTTCCAGGCACCAGAGAGCATGTGAAATACATCAGCCTTTGTGCCTATGTTCTTTAACCTGAATAATTCATCGTAATGTGATGTAACAGCAACAATGGTAGTATGCAGTTCATCATTGTCTCCCATCTGAGAATTAAAAGCCGTTCTTAGATTGTTGATCACACGTTGGTGCTCATCTAACCAGTGCTCATAGTCCTTGTCGAATGCCAAGGCACCTGAATATAAGTTTTGCGGTCAACACTTCTGGATCAGCAAACCAGAAAAGTAATACACTGCTGCTATATAAAACCTTCTACTAAATGCGTCTTTTATATATGCCTGCTTCTCCTCACTAGTACTTATTGTCCTCCTTAATTATCAGCACTTGTTAACTAGTTTATATAAATTGAAATTAGTAAAATGTCAAACATTTTTAAAATCTACCCTCGGTCATGTTAAAAAAAAAAGAAAAAAGAAAACCCATAAGTTGAGAGTGAAGGAAATAAGAGTATTTTGACAAAAAAAAAGTCATAAATATTTCACTAAATTTTGTAGGAGCTCTAGCTATATATAGGAACGGAACTATATATAGGAGCAACAACCTGCAGAAACAACCAGACAAGCAAAATTTAAACAGGCTTCAAAATTATGACAAAGTCGCACATCTTAACTCAACCTTAAAAATCTTGATTGAATACAATAGCTAGCATGATTAAGGATGCATGTGATGCTTTGCCTGAAAATCTAAGAAATGCAGCAGAGAAGATGCATAGGGGTAATCAATAATAATTGCAGTTTATTATGACAAGAGGAGTGACATGTACCATTTCTAACCACTGAACGACAATGATCCTCAGGATACTCGATTGCAATTAGTGTACCCTGCATTAGTTGTTAGGAATAGCGCGCGCACACACACACATAAGTCTATGAAGATTAATTATGTTGATCAACCCTTTTACATATACTATATCATAAGAAATCAAAGCCCTCAAGAAGATGTACCTTTTCTTCCGACCGACACTTCCTCTTAGCCACTTGATTCTGATGAGCGAGCCTACAAAGATTCTGAACAAGACAACATAATTAAAATGATGATAACTTATCAATCATAACCAAAATCGAATAGCTAACCCAACAATATATATATTTTTTGCCTGACCAACAATGTGTGTGTGTGTGTGTGTGTGTGTGTGTATAGCATTTTACATTTCGTAGTTGGGAAATGTAATCATTTATGAGTAGGAAGGCTCGAGCTGCTTGTCGCGTGGTCAAGATTCTTTGCAACTGCCGCAGAGTTTGCTGCCTCAAATTATCAGCCTGAGAAGATGAAAGTATAAAATCAGTATGCGGTGGGTTTATAGCTTAAAACTTTAATTTAGTGGCGTTCTTGAAGATATATAAGCCAGGAAATTGAAAATAGCTCGATACTAGAAAGAATAGAGAAGGTAAATTATTTGAGGGGAAAAAAAACTCATATTGTCATATTTATAAGTCATTTTCAATATGTTTCATACAAACTATAAAAACCCTTAAATTTTATTAATTATCATTTAAAATTTAATAATTTTTTAACTTTATCCTAATTTAATATGCATTATAATTTATGTAAGCAAAGTCAACACAATAATAAATAAAGGGTAAAATTGCATATTCATACAAAATTTTTTTCTTAGTACTCTATAAATAGGACAATTTTTTTTTAACCATATAAATAGGACCAGAAGAATAAAGAAAAGACTAAATTATTTAATAAGCAAAATATAATCATTAATCATATTTTTATTAATGCCTACTGCCTACTGCCTACTGTCTAGTGCCTGCAATAGGTAGTAGTATCATCAATCTCTTCCCTTCCTACATAATTTACATTTTCTTAGGATAATCTAATTTTTATTTGGACAAAAGACAATTAATAAATACATCAAAATTAGTCAAAACCAAATCCATCCCCCAAAATCACAAAATGGACCTAAAATGGGATTTCAGAATTGGGGTGAAATGACCTAAACTAAACATTAGATGCACATTAAAAAAACTGAAAAAAAAAAGAATTAATCAAAAAAAATATTTCGATATTTCTTATGTACAATTATCATCAATACGTATAGATATCGGATGCAATATTGACACAGATATTTCAAGTAATTTGACGGATCATTGCCTCATAAGTATTCACTCCCATATAGGAAGCGCATTGTAGATTAATGTAGAGAAATGACTCAGAAAGTAAACTTAAAAGAGGGAAAATAATGAAACTGTATATATGGCATATTGTGGATTCCATATACCACAGGAAGGAAATCCTGTAAGTTGAGCAGCTTGCTCCTAGCAAGTTCCATGATATCGTATTTGGCAGAATTTGCAGAACTGGTGGATCCGAGGGAGGTTGAAGATGAAGAAAGTATCTCAGAGAGAATGCCTTGCAATGCGTCCATGCCTTGTGATAAAGCTTCCTCCCCCATCATCGAAGACTGCTGCAGATTATATAGCTCCATCAATTGCTGCCCCGCAAATGGCTCAAGCTGCTTCCTTAATATCTGAGATAAAAAGTAAACACAGTTATATTTAATTAGGATCGAAGGTACGGTGATTGAATATGATATGTTTCAGTCATCCTTTCAACACACACGTCACACCCATCCAAATCTTGAATCTTGATTGATCTTTATTTACTACTACTTTTCATCCTTTACCTCTCACAAATATCATCAAAATCGAGGATTTTTCTTTTTGATTTTTAATTTATATATTTTTTTTGTAAAAGTATTATTTGTTAAAAGATGTAGAGAGGTGATGTATATGGAAAGTGATATACAATAGAGACTAGGGAGAATTAAGACGCATCTTCAAGAGGTTCTTGAGAAACCATAATGTATTATAATATACATTTATATTATATATAAAAAGAGTAAGCATGATTTTAATTAAAAGTATGTCCAACACTTCAAAACACTAACAGACTTAGAATACTTAGCCATACCTAAATAATTGCAGCGCTTAAGTGTAATGAATTGAGTAAGAATACCAGTGAATGTCAAATTAAAATATATACATACAGGCTTTTTTTTAAATAAAAAAAGTGCCAGTTTAGGCTAAAAGTCAATCCAATCTAACGCAATGTTACCAAAGTACTTACAAATGGCCCCACGGTTCTTCTGAGCCGAAAAGCCACCAAACAAAGCCATAAATGTTTTAACCCAAGTAGTTGGGGTACAACCGCACCTAATCCTACATATATACCTTGGTGTACGAGAATAAATAACTTAGGAAAAGAAGGATTGGGTTAGACCATTTTACCTTAAGAAGTTCAGATGGTCGGAATCCACCTAACCACATAAAGCATCTTTCTGCAGGCGTCTTCCACATGCCAAAGAACATGTGAAATACATCAGCCTTTGTCCCTTTGCTCTTTAACCTAAATAATTCATCGTAGTGGGCTCTTACACCCTCAACAACATTATGCAGATCATCATCATTATCCTTATCCACTGGCGAATTACTTGCCGTTCTTAGGTCGTTTATCAGTTTTTGATGCTCATTGACCCACTGCTCATAGTCCTTGTCAAATGTTAAGGCACCTGAAGAATTAGGTCCCAGTTAGTTTAAATCAGTATTGCCTTAAAACTTATCTCATAACATTAACGGAACCACATGGCAACATGAGTTTCTCTTCTCTCAGCCACAAGGGTCGCTGGTTTAATTTTTAGCCAGTTATGTCAAGTCCTAAGTTATGTGCTTCAATTTCTAACAACAAGTTCATGTAAACTCCTACTTTGCAAATTACTCTCTCTGGCCCTAAATAATGTAAAAACTAGTTGAAGTGTTTATTTTAGTCTTAAATATAAGACTTTAATCCATGTTGTTTCTTAAATTTATAAATTTTTCTCAAACTATATATCTATGTTAACTGTATATATTAAAATTGGGCAATGATCAATGGGGTTTGTAGAAAACTAACACATATTTATTATAAATAATTAATAATTTGAGTAATTTTTTTAAGATTTATAAATTAGTTATTTAGTTTCTGCATCACTAGAGAGAGGTAATATAGTTGTGCACACGATTAGGGATGTTCTCTTCTAATATTTGGCGGCTACTTTGCTTGAAAATCTAAGAAATGCAGCAGACATGTCTAGTATGATACTACGTCATCTGCTCTTTAATATAATACTTCAATTGATTAATTTGAAGATATTAAGAAAGTTATTAAATTATTTTACAGTATTTATATTTATCAATTTTTTAAAACTAATTTGTCTCACTTATAAATTGATATACAATCTAACAATAAACATAAGTATTTTAGAGAGATCATGTAACATCTATGCTGTAATCAATTGATCTAGAAATTTTCTTAATCTCTTCGAATTAGTAAATTGGGTCTAATATTAAGGATCAAAAGTAGCATAACAACAACATCTTCAAAACAAGTATGAGATTAACGTACCATTTTCGACCACAGAATGAGCATGATCCCCAGTTGCAAGACGTATATTCTGCATTAGGAACATTATGAATCAGTGAAGATCATAGAGCAAGCGGCAGATTGCTGTTATTAAAATTACTAATAAATCAGAGCCTATTAATCGTCCAAATATGTTCTACTTGTTATATATAAGCATTAGATTAGTCCGCAAATCAACGAAATGAACTGACTGGCATTGCAGAATCGTCTTGTTAGTTAGATTTTTTTTTCCCCCAAAAGATATAAGTATGTGTTGGGGGTTGGCTTTTTATCAAACTAATTTAAATCAATTTGATAGAACTTTCTTTAACATGATATACTTTTAATAATTTCTTTATTAATTATCGTGGGACTCTTTCCATTCTAATAGCTAGGTCGAGCCTCATATAAAGACAAGCTGACAATAAACAGGAGCTACAACATTACAGAAATTAATAGGATGCTCCCTCCTATCTTAAATATAACACTGTTAATTAATTTACAGATTCCAAGAAAATTGGTTGAAATTAGTTTTCTTCATTAAATTTGTTCCAAAACACAATTTTTTTTGCTATATTTATGCATACTGAAAGGTTAATTTCTTTCTCTCTTAAGTCATCCTCATGCTTTGTAAATTCACTCCTTTTTTTTTTCCCCCCCTTATTGTCTTGTGTCCGAGACCGGAGGGAGTGAAACAGCACACCAGAACCAGTCCTACATACGCGTGACGTGTTAATAGACAAACATACAGAGGATTAAATTGCAAATAAAACGTGCGAATTGACTTGAAACTAGAAGAAGAAAAAGATTATCTACCATGACACAATCTGCCAATTCCCCTTCCGGCACGGCGCCACCGACAGCCATGTTTCCCTTCTGATACATGAGAAAGATGAGGCGCTGTAAGTTGGAATGGAGGAAGCAGAGAGAAGGCAGGTTGGGAAGTGAAGAATGGCGAATCCTGATGTGTCTTAAAGGAGAAAATAGTGTATCATCTAGTGCGGCTGCTTTTGGTGCATGACAAATATAATAATAATAAAAATAATAAGAAAAGCAAAAAATATTTTTATTATTGCTTTCTGACATGGGAATTAGTTTCCCAACACAATGCATTCGTGTACTTTGGAAGCTGGCCAAAAAGACTAGTCTTAAAAATCGAGTGAATGAACAAGGTTCATGAAAAAGAAAAATGAAAGAAGAGCCTTTTTTTTAGTAAAAAAAGGTTCAGGTGAGTTGAATTCGGAGTTCATTAGGACTAGGCATACCTCCAGACTTAAAAAAACATTTATAGAGATACTTACAAATTGTACGTTAATAAGATCTTTATATTGACAATGAAATTCAAACTCATGACCTTACTGGTTATGGATTGATTCTTTATCAACTACATCAACTCTTGTTAACAATGAAGCCCTGTTTTTGAACATTTGATATTTGAGCATTGGGAAGAGGCAGATTCTATGTTTTAAGAAATGCATTTTAGTTGAAAATGGATTAGGAGCAGTTGTGTTTGCGTGATGTGCCTTTGCGTAAAGAGCATAAGATCCATACATAAGCACATGCTTTAACTCGTGGGTGAACTGTTTTCATCACTTGCTTCTATAAATCAGCCAATCAATAAATTGCTGAGTGGAGCACTAGTTATGTACTTTGCCTATGTTTGACTTGGGATTTTTGAAGGAAGTGAAGACAATTATTTGGTTCATCAAAGATGAAGAAAAAGCTCTAACCTTCAATTTAGGGTGGACCCAAAAATGTACATGTCAGAATTAGACTTTGATGTATCTCTATTTTATAACATGTTTTTATGTATAATTAAGGGATTTTATAATGTTTGAAGGGTTTAAAATGTAATAGATACTCATATTTTGATTTAAGGAAATTATATGAATTAATTGCTTAAAAGTGTATTTTTATTATATTTTTATAATTTCTCTTTTGAAAGGTATTTTTGCTTTGATTTTAGATTTTATCCAATATCATTTAAATTCAAAAGTCCTTTGACTTTGGTTGTCATGAAGTTCACACCAAATCAAGAGAATTCAAATTTAAAATTCTATCAAGATTACAAGATAAAAGAAGATAAAAGATAAAGCTAGAAGACTCAAGGGTTTCTTCATCTACCTAGAACATATTCAAAAGCTATAAAAGGAGATCAAAGGAGCCTTAGAGAAGCAACGAAGCTATCTACACTGCACAAACACAAACACACTCTTGACTTTCTCTTGTGTCTAATTATTTCACTATCTTTTTGTTATTTTCTTTTTATCATTATGGTGTTATCTAACCATATATGTGGCTAGTCCTCATTGTTTCTGAGGGCAAGATAACGTGGCTTGAGTTTCTATTTTTATTAGGGAGTTTGTTAGTTTTTATATTTTAATTCACTAGGATATTGCTTTTATAAATTTTTCAGGTTAGGATTTTTATTTCTTTTGTGGACTGATATTTGATTTGTGTTTTAGTTGAATAACTATGTTTAGAAGTTTTCAATGAATATATTTTCATTTTTCTCATTATTTTATGAGTGTTTATCTGTATAGATTTCTATTTTGATTTGCACAAGTAGTTCATGCTCTAGGGTTTTCAATAGATAACTCTCTTTAAGGAACAAGATATAATTATTTAATTAAATTCACAAGCTAAGTGGTTTTTAAATGATTAATTGAAAGGTGATTATATGTTAGCTCTCTAGGTATAAGTATTAATTAATTAATCACGACTTAGATGTTATTTAGGGTTTTTTTTCTTTTGACTTAGTAATTGTTTTTATACAAACTCTTCATCCTTTTGAACCGTGATAGCCACTCATAACGTCTTCGGGAAGTATATCCTTCTGGTAAAGTCTTCGTTCCTTTCGGTTTCTTTTACTTACTGTTTTTTTTCTCAATTTATTTTCCTAAAAAATCAATTAATGTTCTTTCTTACTCCTTCCTTCTTTACATCATGTTTTTCTTAATTAAAAAGGTTTTCAAAATTTTAACAAAGCTTTTCATAGAGAGAGATGATCTAGGTTGACCTCTATACTATATAGGGTTAATTTAGTTAATTAATTTGAGAGTTTACACGACAGGGTGATGAGACTTTCATGAGGACCTTATTCGAATGTGGTGGATAATATATCATCACCTGGGCGACTTGCTATTGACAATCTTGTATTAATTTGATACAAATTTTAGATTCTCAGAGTATTAGTCATGTTAATAAAGCATTATAATCACACATTTTTCTCATTTGCGTTTTTACCGCTCTCTTTAGTTAGCTCTAGCCTGCGACCCTGCGTCATCACTGTAGACAAGTAAAATTAAGCAAATAATTTTTCCAAAAAAAATTATTGATGAGAATTATAATAAATAGTATACAATATCTGTATTATATTGAAAGTGAAAATTTTACATCTAATTCTGACACGGAAGTTAAGTTATGACATTTAAAACTAGGAATTCATAAGTTTGAAAAAAAAAAGGGAAAGAAAGAAAAAGAAAACAACTAAAATTTGACAAAGCGTATAATAATCACCTTATTATTAACCCCTTGCCTCCTTTACTAAATCAAACAATGGATCTTTATTTCCCCTCTCCACATCTTCAATCAACCAAACAGAAAGTGTTTGGCTGGAGTGTCGTTCATATTTCATTTTAGAATAATGTTTCGTTCTTTTTTACCAAAAAAAAAGAAGAATGACGTGTAATTTGTTGGGCGATGACTTTTGATAAACCCTTTGATATAGCCGTTTGTGATGCTTTCTGAGATCAAAGAATGTATGAAGGCTTAACTGGTATTTTTTGGATTACGCAATCCAACGGCATTTACTTTCGGTCATAGCAGGTTTTACTTACAGTTCACTCAGTGCTATTCTTTACTCTGCTTCCGCCATGTCACTTAGACGACTCTCCCTTGTTATTGTTAACAAAATGTCACAATAATGCTTCTATCCCAGTTCAACATCAGATTCTTACGTTATTTCAGCTTGTCAAGGTTAATTACAGGGTTAAGGTGCGTTCCGGTATTATGAAGTATTTTGAAGTGTGTTAACATCTGAAATATTTTTTTAATTACATATAACACCCTAAAATATTTTATGGTATAATTTTATTATTAAAGTGCTATTTTTTTCAAAAGTAATTATGCTTTTAAAATATTATTTTATGAGTAATGTTAACTTCGTCAGTAACTCCTCAAAAGGTTTATTAAATAAATGTATATCAAGCACCATACAATATTTATTCAGTATTTTTTAGGGTACTAAAAAAACACTTCAAGATGCTGAATACTACAAAATACTTTAAAGTGCTGGATGCATCAAACAAAACACATCAGAATTCTGGACACGCCACCCTTAATTATATTACAAAAAGTACTGATAAATATAATCCCACGTTTCGTCAAAAGTTTTCTAGTTAGTTACAGCCTAAGCAGTATGTTCAAATGGAATTCTAATACTCCTCTCCTCTCAATAAGGAGACTAGTTCTGTTTTATACCTTGAAGACACAAAATTTTTACTATAGATATACATACATATGAAGGTTGAAACCCCCTTTTCTGTATTTTGTTTTCTAGTTAGTTACAGCCTAAGCAGTGTGTTCAAATGGAATTCCAATACTCCTCTCATCTCAATAAGGAAACTAGTTCTGTTTTTATACCTTGAAGACACAAATTTTTTACTATAGATATACATACATATGAAGGTTGAAACCCCCTTTTCTGGATTTTGTTTTCTTTGTGTAAGACCATATCTGAGGCAACTTTTAGCTTCCCCCACAAGAAAGATCGAAGGGATATATAAACTATGCAGTAGGATTGCAACACAAGGTAATTAATTAAAAGATGTGTTTTGTCGAACACGGTAATCAAGTTGTGAGTTGGTTAGAACTTCCCTTGCTCGAGCACTCCTATGTTGAAGTCTGTGGTGAAGTGTCTCAGACATCTGGTTGAAAAATTCAGTGTCCCATCTACGAATCAATGAGGGATCCTCCGCATAACAGATATATATGGATGTCACGGCACTTTCCACCACAACCATGGCCACTCCAACCTGAAAATTGCGCATTTCAACTCGCATTCTCAACCTCAAAATAATGATACACCGAAAAGAAAAAGAATCAAAATAAGATTGGTCATGAGCTCGACAATGAGGATGCTCAAGTAAAATTCAATAACTTGTATCATGGTGATGTGATTAACATGCCTAGATGTCTAGCTCTAGTCAATCAAGAAGTGCTAAGACTAACATGCTTAAATGCGGAGACAGTCACTTGGAGCTACTTTCCCAATCACAAGACACAAACTAGAATGCAGTGTTTCCCTGTCAACCACGAGAAAACAGTAGTATTTGCAAGAGTAACTGACATGTTTACATATCTCTTTAGTCTATCTATCTATTATAGACCAAATTGATTAGGCATATCACAGGCAATATTAGTCATTAATACAAAAAAATGCTGTGATCCTTGCAAAAAACAATTACACTGCTAACCCAACTGAATACCTTGTACAGTTGAGCTTACGACTTACCAAGACCATCCCCATCAACATAGATGTTGTTCCAATCATAAATATTCTATCTCTATCTCCAAATCTGTACCACGCCCAAACACCAGAGCATGTTCCGGCTATCAAACCACCACAGACAGCGCCCATTAGCAGGACAGCACCTGAACAGTCATATGCTACAAGTGCTTCAACACCAGTTGACTGGAGTAACTCCCAGGCATCCCTAGCTGAACGATTAAAGCTTTTACCATTAACAGCTATCTGCAGCAGACATAATCATAAACGTTAATATTTGAAATAAGTGCCCAAGCACGACAGAAGCTAAATTCATTCATCAAGAATCAATCCTCAAATCTAGGAAGCACTGTTAGATTTCCGTTACCATAGAGAAGTGAATGATCACTTCTGACACGAAATATACTTATAACTGCCAATTGCACCTTTGTACAAGACTTCTCTTGTATAGGCTCAGCATTACCGCATCATCCTTGGACCCTCACTCACAAATGAACAAAGAGTCTAACAATAGAAGTTAAAAATTTAATATATTGGAGCCTCATGTGTGACAAAAACAGAGTCATGAGTTTATGAGTAGACCAAGCCTATAAAATAATGTGCCTTTTGTAATATACTGCGCCTTGATCCTCTATTCTACCACTCATATAAATGCCATACCAATGTCATCAGGAGCAAATGCTGTGAGGCAGAACATCGCACATCATTCTCAAATTTCCTCCAGTAACATTCACCAAAATTCTAATCCTCATTTTTCTCTTTTAGCTAGATAATGATGTTTCTAAGATTTCATATTCAATGTTCAACTATCCTACAACTAAACAACTTGACCCTGCTGAACCAGTTGTGCGAACATTGAGTTTTGATTTTGCCCATTAATGCACTGACGAGCAGTGAACATTCTTTGTGAAGTATAGTCAACATAATTCCATAGATAACATTAAGTCGAAATTATAACAAGGACAAAATTTGACGGAATAATGAATCAATGAAAGGCAACATAACCCTTATTTCAGGGTAACAATAGCTGAGAGATCAAAATAAATATAAAAAGAAACATGTAATTGTCATGTATGATAGAGAGACAGGGAGACAGAACATTTGGGTGATATTGACATAAAAGCAAAAGTATACCTGAACATAGGCATACTTGTTAAAGAATCGGACAAGAGTCTCCACAAGATGGAAAAGGAAATCAACACAGCAAAGCAAACACTCGTTGTTGCCAATCTTCGACCGGAAACCCCTTATCTAAGAGATGTATAGCAATTATGGTGAAACTAGAGAAAAAGCCACTGAATTTAACACACACACACACACACAAAGTATTAACAGATGCAAATGGCAGTGAGTACCTCCCACCTAAGTGTCCTAATAGCAGCTGTAAATAATGAGCCATAACAAATGCTGCCAAAAGATTTCGTCAAGGCATATTGTAAAGATCTTATTAAGGAGTTATCATGTATTGAAGTTGCATCTCTACCACCATGAATGAGATTGAGAAACACCATCCCAGACACTATTACATGTACAGTATTACAGAGTACAGCACCTGTCCAGAATAGACTGACACAGAAAATCTGCATATACAAGTGGCAATATCAGTGTAAGCAGAAAAAGCAGTTTTCAGGGGAAAAAAAAAAAAGAAAAGGGAAAAAAAAAGACATTGCCATTATCACCCTCAACTCCCAACGGGAAGAGATAGAATTAAGAGCACAACTTGCTGGCTCACCAAAAGAAGCCACCAGCATCCAACGTCAAACAAGCTTGAAGCCACAACGCCTGATGCACCAAAAGACCATATGGCCATCCATAAAAGCACCACAAGCATAAATGCATATGCCACTCTCATAACCTCAGGAAGACTGCAAACCATCTTCATAGCTTTTTGGAGAATCAGCATGGTAAACGGAAGTCTAGATGGGGAAAAAAGAAATGCAACAGAAATCATCCCACAGACAATGATTTTTCACAGAAGACAAAAGCAGGGGGTGGGGAGAAATATAACCTATAATAGAATAATAAACAAAAGTAACTACAAGTAAAAGACAGAAGTTAGCTGCCAATCTTAGAATAGGAAATAGTGAAATACCAATATTAGCCTGTTAACACATGAAAGAATCTATAGTGCATAAAATATTAATAAATAATAAACATAGCTGTAGACAAGTTTATTTGCATTATATTACACACATCCGCACCATCTAGTCAAACAAGCGTGACATTTCTGGGTTAAACTCTTTATATGACCACCCTCCTTAGGTTTTATAAATTTTCTCCCCCAAAGTCTGAAGCTTTGGATATTGGTTAAAACTAAAGAAATACCATCAGTGGAAGAAAGGCCTTTCCTTGCCATCAAATAATTTTCCAAACTTCATCCAATCATCAAATTTCAAGAATCAAGTTTCCACTATCTCATCCTCAACATCTAAAATTTTCAAGTAAAATAAATAAACTAATTAATGGGTAAAAATTTCTCTAAATCTTGAATAAGCAAAAGGTAGTTCATTTGAAAAAGGAGGAACTTTCATGTAAGCTATAATGAAAGAAGAAAATGGCAGCAAAGATATTTGTTTAAAATGAAAATAATAGTACAGTAAATTTTCCTTTTAGATTTACCTTAAAAACATTCATTCACATATTAACTTGATGCGCAATATATACTAAACTCGCCTATATAATTTTAAGGCACTAAAGGATATTTCTACTGCATTGCTACTGCTATGAGAAGAAAGGTTTTTGTAATTATATTTATAATAATAACAATGATAAGAAACAAATGGAAGGAACTCCGCAGAGAGACGTTATTTTCAATAAATGCAATTTCGAGCCAATACCTATCAATGACCGATATCACGTACAAGAATTGCAGGGCTGCGCCAGTGGCAAAAATAACTCCCCAGAAGAATTGTTCAGCCCAGAAACACAAAACACTGATCACAGCAAGATAAGTGGTCAGTATGTGAACAGACACCTTCATCATTTGATTTGCGCGAGAACCCAATAGCAGCAGCCAACTCAATCCGAGAACAGTCCCAACGCCACCAGCAGCAGCATAAAGCGGCCAGTAATCCTCGGTCAATCCATGTTCACGCTTGTGAGGGGGTCCGGTGTACATACCAATATTTAGTCTATCCCTTTTCTTAAACCCATTCAGGCCGAGAACCCCCATAATGAGTGCCAGAGAAATCAAATGAATTATAAATATTCCCGACCAGAAAACATCATGCCATCGACGCGATTGTTCAAAGGTCACAGCTTCATGGACGTCGCCATTTCTCCGACTTCGGTCCGCATTCTATCAAAAGTAATGGTGTTCAAAATTTCTGATTGGTTTCTCGCTCTTCAACAAAACTTGGAGAGCAAATAGACAACATGGTGACTTATTTTAGGGCAAGCAGATAATGACTTGCCATTAGAGAAAGTGGGGTGCGCAGATAAACAGAATTAGAGAAATGATTTAGAGGATACTTTCGCCATGAAAATGCGATTGGGGCTTATCAGATTAAACAGTGTGAAACGATAACAAAACAGAGAAAACATGTTGTCACAGAAGAGAAACTCAGATAGCCAAATAAATCAGTAAAAATAACGTAATAATGTCGGGGAGTACTTTAAGAGTGCGACTGGCATACCTGATCACGGGTGGCGACGGTACTGGAATCGGAGGAGGAGGAAGAAAAGGAGGGAGATTCCATCATCGAGTGCGATGAAGAAACATAGTACAGATCAATTTGGTTTAAATATAAGGAGAAAAACGATAACTAAGCCCAGTGGAGACCAATTTGGTTAACGGATCATATCGGGAGTCCCGAAAAAGTGAAAATTAAGACAAAATCAAGAGAAGAAGGCCAGCTGGGCTAATAATGGCTGTTTAGTGTTCTGAGAAATAAAAAAAAAAAAAAAAAGAATCGAATTGGGAACGTAGACGAAGAAGGGGAAGCGGAGGGGAAATGGAAACTGAAGCACAACGGTTTTGGAAACAGTTTAAGCAGATAACTCCAATGGCGCAATGAGCCAATGAAGCCACGTGCGACACTGCCGCTTTTGGTGGGCCTTCGGAGGCCTTTACACAAAAGTTCTGCCGCCACGCGCCATATTTTAACCCCTTTGAAGTTTGAACATCTGTTTTATTTATTTTAAATTCAATTTTTTTTTAAAAAAATAAATATATTTAAAAGAACAATATTATATATGTTAATATTAGGTCAAGTTTTTTAATAACATTTGGTTATATGTTCTATTTTTAAAATATTATTATTAAATTATAAATTTACATAAAAAAATAACATAATCAACATATTATGTGTGAATAAAAAACTCGACATAATAGATATATGAAATTTGATGTAAATATTTTTTTAATTTAAAAAAGAATACATATAAATTTTTATATTAAAAATTTATTTAAATAAATAATAACGACTTAATGGTATGTACATAGAACTAAGATTTTATAGATTACCTGAGACTAATTTAAATAATAAGGGTGAGTGTGATGAAGAAAAAAAGTTAATAGTTTAAATACTCTAAACATTAAATAAAAAAAGAAATAAAACCCTAATGAGGTTAGGTACTCAGTAAAATGAACTAGTTTCTTAGAACATGATAAACTATAGTTCTAAATTCCTGTCAGAACAAGTGTTTACTTTGAATACTTGACCATGCTTCTAATAAGATTAATATATATATGTTTTGAAATGTTAATGCGTCATTATAAGGTCATTTAAGAAAGAGCTCATAAGTATTAATTATAGTTTAATCTGATTGGTTAGGTTAAAAATGGGATCAAAAGCACCGGTGAGCAATCGATAGAATATGTAGAAGTATTTGTAAGTATAGAGGAATTTTTTTTTTAGAAAAAAAAAAATTCTTGCACAATGCGTGCTGCTTTTCTTTAAATGTTGAAAATTTTAGAAACTTGAGTTATATCTAATTATAGTTGAGAATGTGAGTCTTAAATGAGCTAAGACTTCAACTAAAAGATCAATTTTCTTTTCAATTTTAGTTTGGTTATGGCTTTGGCTAGTTGAGGTGTATTTGGAAATTTTTTATGTCGTACTATGTGTAGTATGCATTACTGTCTTGTGTGCGTTTTTTTTTGGCCAACTCATGTGCGCTTAGCTTTTATACTTAAAGGTTTGTAATTTTGTATAATGAGAACTCATTGCATCTTATACATGGGGAGCTAGGGCAAGGCTATTTTCGTTTAATTAGTAGCCATGTCATGTTCTCATTTGATGGGCCGTAACAACTTTGTCCTTACAGCCTTCCCTTAATCTATTATGGCTTGTTTGGTTATAATGTAATGATAATTATATGAGTTCATTTGGTATGCCATTAAAGAAAGATAATATATAAATATAAAGGTGTTTGGTTTGGATTACCCAAAAAAAAAAACATGAGAATACATAAGAATAATGTATCAAAAGATAAAGGGAAAATGGTATTAAAAGACCCTTGAAATAGCAAATGGCTAAATGGGTACTTGAATAAAGAAAATTGCTTAAAAAAACTAGGTCCTAAATTGCAATTATCAAATCAAATTTAAAAGACGAAAAAGCCCTTCTTTCTTTCTTCTCTTTTGACTTCCCCTCTCTCTCTTCTTCTTTTTCTTTCCTTCTTCTACTCTCCTTCAACTTCCTTCTTCTTCTCCAAAACTGTAACTTTTTTTTCATGTTTTTCTCAACCCATTGATTTGCAATGGGAGAAATGAAAACATGTTAACCGTGGAGCTTTCATATTTAATTTTCTGCAAAACATGTAATGCTAATATAGTACTTTTTATATAAAAACTCTCATTTTTCACAATCTCTCTTTATTCCACAATCTTATCTCATGTTGATATACTCAAATTAACATCTATTACCTCCTCCTATTTTCCCTCTCACACTTTGCCATTTTGAGTATGAAGTTTTAGGGGTTGCAGTGAAGAGAGTGAATCAGAATGTTATCATTTTGAATGCTGAAATTATAAAATTCTAACGTCAACTTGGTAATCGAAGAGGTTGTTAGTTTTAATTTTCATATGTAAATGATTGAGTTGATAGAATAAAATTATATTAAATACATACGTGATTTTCCTATCTTTTGCTAGTGGCTTCATAGTATTTTTCAAACATGATTTTCTACCAATATTTCGAATTCAAATGGCTAATTACAGAAACTGGTTGCTGTTAGTTCATCTACTAAACAAATCTGGAAATTCTATCATTTTAACACAGAAACTTGAATTCTTATGAATTGCTTATAAGAAGTTATCATTCGTCTTACTAAACTTGTTATTCGCTTTATTGAACTTGTCATAAATTATTTATCAGAACTTGTCATCTGCTAAAGAAATCTGAAAATTTTGTCATTTCAACATAGAAACTTAAATTCTTATGAATTGTTTATCAGAAGTTGTTATTTGCCTTACTAAACTTGTCATTTGCTAATGAATTGTGAAAAGTCTGTCATTTTAACACAAACTTAAAATTTCTATGAATTGCTTGTTAAAAGTTATCATTCGTCTTACTAAACTTGTTATTTGCTAAGGAATTGTGAAAATTCTGTCATTTTAGCACAAAAACTTAAATTCCTATTAATTGTTTATCAGAAGTTGTCATTCACCTTATTGAACTTATTATTCGCCTTACTAAACTTGTCATGAATTGTAGTTTTTAATAAGCATGAAGTTGGTTTTTCAAGCCTAAGTGGAGCTTTTATTCTATAAGTCATAGATATATTATATCAGCATGAGATGATATTGTGGAATAAAGAGAGATTGCGGAGAATGAGAGCTTTTACATGAAGAGTACAATATTAGCATTACATGTTTTGTAGAAAATTAAATATGAAAGCCCCACAGTTAACATGTTTTCATTTCTCCCCTTGCAAATTAATGGGTTTGGAAAAACATAGAAGAAAGTTATAGTTCTAGAGAAGAAGAAAGAAGTCGAAAGAAAGTAAAGAAGGTAAGAGAAGAAGGAAGAAGAGAGAGAGAGAGGAAGTCAGAACAGAAGAAAGAAAGAAGGGCTTTTTGATCTTTTAAATTTGATTTGATAATTGCAATTTAGGACATGGTCTTTCCAAGCAATTTTCTTTATTCAGGTACCTATTTAGCCATTTTGCTATTTCAAAGGTCTTTTAATGCCATTTTCCTATAGGTAAAATTATCCTTACTTACATGCACATATATAATGAACTAAAATCGTCAATTTTTTCTCCAAATATATATAATGATCCTATCCACATATATAATAAAATAATAGATTACCCCTTGTTCATATATATATATATATATATATATAAATTGAATAGCTTATTAATTAAAATTGTGTTTATAGATATATAATAACCAGTATAATTTTTTATATAAATCTGGAACTAAATCAATAAGTTGAATTATTGTATGTAGGTATCTATAGACAAATATAAAGAGTAGCTTTGCTTGTATAACCCTACAACCACATTTTCTATTTATCACATTAATTTTTTTCTTTTATTAACTTGTATGCAAAACCTGTATAATTAAATTAAAGTATAATAAAATTTTTATTAATTGAAACTCTATCCATATATATTATGATAATAAATATAATTTTCATATAGACTGCAATTGAGTTAACAAGTTGATTAGTTGAATATAAATTTGTGCATAAAAACCAATAAAGTGGACCCTATCATCATTAATCAAAGTAAAAAATACAGTCCCAACCAAATAAAAAGTATGAGCCACAATAGTAAAAAAAGGACTTATAATAACTTCATCCTATAAAATATGATGGTTATGTCTAACAAAAGACGTATAATGCATACTATACTATGCCTTGATAATTGATATGAATAAAATATCATGTATTTTAATTATTTGGCGTGGATCTCAGCTTCAGTTGTTTAATCTTCTTCTTCATCATTCTCAACATAAGGTGGAGGTAATTTTGCACCCATTCCAGGTGTATGGTCCTCACTCCAAAACATATGATAGATCTTCAAAGTAGTGTAACCTTATATTTCTAAAATTTCCAGCTAGCTTATTAACCTGAAAATGAAAAATAAACACTGCACAATCATATAATAATTTGTAAGCATAAATCATATAACAAAATACATTGATAAACATTAATAATAACATATAATAGATAATTACCCTCACAAATTCAGACCATGCATGATCTTCAGCTGTGACATAATTCTTGTTGGGATCTCATATAAAGCCAAAAGTCACCATCTTAGATACAACCTTGCACGTCTTTCTAAATGTCCTCAACCTAGACATAATATGAGAATTAGTTTTCAATCCAATGGTTCATTGTTTCTAGCAAAGAAACAGAACTGAATGCACACAAAATAACTGTTGAAGAAGGAGTAAAAGAGAAACCATATGGACAAGAAGCAAAGAACTTTACCTCGCCATAGATTCCTTAGAACAATGACAATCAAGCAGCAATGACCTCTGTTAGTGCGGCAGTGAAGAAGACAATGTTAGCAGTAAATATATGGTGGGTAGCGATTAATAGGGTTTATGGGCCTTATTTCAGTAGGGACAATCCAGTCAATTTGAAATTTTATAAGGGCAATAATATCTTTTTCACTTGATTATAAGAGGTTTGCACTCTTATTCATGAGTCTCAGCTAGCAATCCCAATACATCACTTGAGGTAATCATGATTACAAAATGTAATCCACTTTACATTACAAAAACCCAACCAAATGCTTGAATCAGTCTGTTGTACTAGGATTGCATGTGATGCCTATTCTTGAAATTGAATCAAATGGGCTTTAAATATATAAACGTAGAGTACAAAGCAAAACTTAGTAGCAGACTAACATGTGGTAGCACCTTTTTATTGTGGTAGCACCATTTCCCAGCTAAATGTTTTTTTTATCGTTTTTATTTTTGTTAAAGTAACATGTCTACCCAACTCTACGTAAATTAAGAAAAACAATCTATGTTTTTTATGAATTAGCTTAATAAAAAAATAAAATACAAACTTAAACATATTAAAGATATTTTGTTTATATATATGTAACTTTAACAATAGCAGCTACTCAATTTCCTAATATATTGAATAGTGAACCTATTTTATATTTTATCTAATATTTGTCTATTATTAATGATCTCAAATAGTGAATTTCCAAATTATCATTACAATAATCAACATATTTTATGTTTTATATTAAATACTTAACTTAATCTTAACTCCATGAGGTATGGAGATTTTGAGAGGGAGCAACTAGTATTCGTTCGATATTTGTGTGGGGGAGGGGAGGATTCTGGGAGGCTATGATAGTTACTCAATTATCACAGTTATCTAAATACCCATGAATGTTGCCATGCACACTCCTCCTTCTCCTCTTTGTCGTGGACAGTGAAGATGACAGGCCATCTACTACAGATCACTGCCGCAAGATTACATTGGAAATCTTATTCTATCATTCTCTATGGCAGTGGCCATGAGACTCCATTCTTACATGTAGCTAGGAAGATGACAATAAATGCTTTGTTGCCTCCTTTTCAATTAGGACATGTTAGCCTTTCTCGTGTTTGAGTTAATTAATTGAATGCTTTCCATTTTTTTTTTGATATTTCATTATCGTTGTGGTTGAATGGGTAGATCACCAGCTAGGGTGGACAAGCCTATTTAGGGAAAGGAACATAGGATGCTATGCATGCTATAGAATTAGTTTCCAATAGTTGTTTTATCTCATTAGCTCATCATCATTTCTATCGAGTATTTATAGATCTACATTCTAACTTTTCAATGCCAAATAAAGAAGATAGGACGGAGCTACAGATTGAGATATAGAACACTGTCTTTGAATATGTGGATGGTGAAAAGGAGATGACATGTTCATCTAGCCTATTGGTTTTTGATTTTTTTTCCATATTTTGTTTTGTTTCAACTCCTCTCTTTCTCCTCCTCTCATTGTTGTTGTTCTTTTTGTCTCTAGTGTTGTTCCATATTTCCCCTCCATTGCAATAATCGATTCATGAATTTAGAATGTATTATTCATTTCTCAGAAGTTGCACTCTACTCCTTTTGTGGTGATGACCATGGTAGTGAAGGAGAAGTTGGTGGGAATTGATAAAAGGAGAGAGGCATGGGTACTATGAAATTTTTAACAGACAAGAATACTAGGAAAGTCATGCTTGTGATGGGGTAGTCGAAGACACTCAAGAATCCACATGTATTGTGGAGTAACCTTGGTCCTTACTCTATTTTCATCATTCTTTAGCGTTTTTTTAAAATGAAGTTTCAGTATCATTCCATGCCATCTAATTATTTGGAAGTTCCAACGTTTTAATGTGTAAATACCATATAATTGATTAGCTTGACTATTGACTTTTTGTATTTATAATTTGATTTTGAATTATAATATTCCTTTCAAGAATTGTATGAATTTTGAAATTTTGTCTTGCATAACTGAATGTAATGCTACCAAAGTGTATTTAGCATACATTTTAAATTTGAGTTTGCAACCCTAGACTAGTTCTTCCCTATAGTTCTTTTGTCTTCATAAAATATTTCTTAAGTATGAATAGTTTGATATTGTTTTGGTAATTTTAGATTATTTTAAGTTTATATTCTTAGTTCTTACTTTAGAATCTTCTTTTAATTTTTATGGGAATTGCTTATTTGCATGTTATAGTGATAAACTCTTTTTGAACAAAGTACATCTTTATGTGGTTTTTGAAATATGTTAACTCATTAACTATTGTGTCTCCATTAGTTTTTCTTATATTAAATAGCCTACTTTTACAATAGAAAATAAGGTAACCAATATATAATTATTTTTTGGCAAACAAAATATATAATTATTGACCATGACATTGTCTATGTAATTATTGAATATAATCAAATATTTGAGTTTTAATCTATTAATTTTTTTGTCTCCATTAATTCAATCTTTTTAAAAGAACACCGTACATAGTATATTTTTAAAAATGTTTATAATGAATCTACACATATTGCATATTTCAAAAGCTTATGGATGTTTTATTCTTATTAAACTGAAATCATGAGTTGAAATAGAAAAGTAATATTCAACTAATTATTTTGTGTTGGTTCAACTTTTTATTTTTCATAAAAAAAACCACCAATTCATACACGAGTATTGTACTAGTTGATTTAAGAGTGAAAATATAATGATAAAAATTATTAAAATATTAATAAATAATTTACTTAAAAGGAATTTCTAGAAACTAATTTTGATTTGTCAGATAATTAGAAAATAATTTGATTACGCTCAACTTTTTCTTTTTTTTTTATACAAAAAAGTTTAGATGTGTGGAGTCCTAAGACTTATTAGGATCGGAACAAGCCTTCAAGATCAAAGAGTGCTTGTAAATATACTTACAGATCACCTATTAACAAAATCTTCACATCAACTATGGGATTTAAACTCATGATATTTAATTATAAATATTTTCATATAAATCAAGATAAAATTCATTTAACATATTTATTTTGTATTTTATAAATTATGATTAAAAAATTGATTTTAAAGGTTGTAATCGCAATTCCAAACAACCATCAAATCGTTCATCAATTGTAATAAGCCTGATTCAAAATTAGATGAATGTGTTCACTTCACAACATTTATAAATTATACTCCCTCTATCTCTTATTATAAATTTTTTTTAACTAAATTACAATGTTTATAAAAACAATTAAAATTAGTTAAAAGCAATTAATACGTAACAAATATAATTTTTTCAAATATATTTTTATATATAAATGGGTAAACATGAGAGAGTAATAATAAGGTAAATAAAAAATATATATTAAATGCATTAAATTGAAAGTAAAATAGGTAATAATATGTTAAATGTTCAGATAAATTCAAAAAAAAATTTTTATAAAAAATGACACACCTATTCAAAAAATTAAATTAAATAATAAGAAAAGAAATAATAATCACTAATTTAGCAATTTCAGAGATATAGTTTTAAGGTTTCTTACAATTGTCGTGATGGTTGTACCACAAGCACAAGCTCGAGCCAACCAACAAACCGCCCCTGCGTTACATTTTATCGCGCCATTGAGTTGGTCCCACCGCATTACAACTTTATCCGAATGGGGCCCCACACACACACACAAAAGCTTGACTTTTAACTGCGAGGGTAAAACAGTATATAGCAATTAATGCTATGAGACGAAGCTAAAAGCTCCTATTTAGCAGCTGTTGGCAGAGAATCCAACGAGGGAGTTCTTAAGGTCGAAACCGACACGTGTCCCTTGCTGTTGAACGTTGCCTATGATTGATAATGTCGAAGTCGTAGGCGCGAACCCCAAGCAAAACGTGCCGTCTGAGTCAACCGGTATCAAGTAGTTCTTGGCCGGTAACGGTAACTCCTTGCCCTCCGGGAAGTGAAACGACACCGTTGGGACCTCCACGCTCGTCTTCGAAGAAAGGTTGTAACACGTGTCAAACAACGCCACGCCCTTCGCCGGTGGCAGACCTCGGGTTCCCTTCACGAACGAGTCGCGGAGCGAGTTGTACACGTCAGTCTGCAACCGCGTCACCGCCGTGCCGGAATCCACAATAATGCCGCCGTTCCCTGTGGCATCCACGAGAAACCTCGACGCCGGAATCTGAAGCATCTGACCTCCGACGCTGATTCCTGTTAGACCAAGATAGTAGAAGGTGTCTAGTTCCCTATTACGGTGTATCGGAGCAGTAACGGCGTTAGGAGGCAACGGTGAGTCAAACTCAAGGGTCGAAGTCGAATCAGAATCGCGGTCCACAAGGCAGTATGAGAAGAACGTTGTATTGAGCTGAGACGGGAAAGACAACGAGCCGCCACCGAGACCGAGCAAGCCGGCTGCGCCGACGAACAATCCCTCGTTGTTATGGCCGCAGCCAATGGCAATATCTCTAACCGAAGACGAGCCGATGGTTATAGTCTCCGTCGCGAAGTCACCGACTGTGTAGGATCCGTCACCGTAGGACACCTCGTAGAGGCATGTGTTATTCCGGCACTCTGATAAATCTAGTGATTTGCATCGGGGGCTTTCACAAGTGAGCGGCGAATAGGAAGCCGAGGTAGCCGGGTCGAATATGGGGTCGGCTTGTTGATAACAATCGGCACACGGCGCACACTGAATCCAGCTTACGTCGCTGCCGGTGTCGAGGACCATGTAAGCTTGACTCGGCGGCTTGCCAATTCCGACTCGGGTGAAGTACTCGCCGCTTCCTTGACTGGTTCCAGAGACGATAGGACCTTGCATTTCCTCTGCTCCAAACATGAACCTGTTTTCTCCGGCGGCTGGGTGAAGATCTGATGGAGTAATGCGTTTCAAGGCTAGATCTAAACGGGTCACCAAGGATCTAACTCGGGCTGAATCGCGCTCGAGACGAGCCAGAGTGAGAGATTTGTAATCTCCATGTGAAGGTTTATGAAGTGAAGCTCGAGAATGCAGCTGCAGTGTGAGGGAAGATGAAGGAGAAGACCTCAGTTGCTGCTGGTTCAGAGAAGCTGGTCGGGTAGTGGAGAAAATTTTCTGGGCATTTCGAATGGATGAAGCGACATGAAGCACAGTGGTCTTTGAGCTCTGTGGTATGCTCCGACAGTGAACCAATGGGGAAGTGACGAAGAAGAAGGAGAAGAACAAGAGAAAAAGCAGAAAATTCTCTGATTCAGGCATTGAAACGAGGCTGCATGAAGAGAATGGAAAGAGATGAATTTATATTTAGGAAGGAGAAGGGGAGAAGGGGACCAGTGGGAGGAAGTAATTAAAGCGATTCACGTCAAGCTCACTCTGTCTGGGCATAAAACAAAGCCAATTAAAGCAAAGGAGGAAGCTTTCATAAGCTTTGCATTGTCTGGCTAATCCCTCATTGATCCCATAGTCTTTATGATTCTTGGGAAAGCCGAAAGAGTGCTTGGCATTGAGAACTCTAGCTTTATGGGAAGTTGATTCATGAGGGGATTATTATAAAATACTAGTAATATCATTGGGATAAGCATGGCTAGTGCGTGGGTATGACTATGATGCTTGAGACTTACGAGAGACATCTTTTCAATAAATCTAAGCTTTTGACTAATTAAGACTTCGGCTTTGCGGGACTATTTTGGACGTAACTCCAATATTTCATCGACTTATTAATACAGATGAGTATCTGGAGAGTGCGACCTGCATAGTCAGGGAAAGATGCTGCGTATTTGTGGGACAGGAGGTGGGGTTGAATCCTTGAGGCCTCTTAGTTGCTTCTATCATCATGACCCATCTCGCAATCATCTGATCATGCACTGTGTCAAAGTGATTTTCAGTGTGCTTTGGATGTTCTTCATCATTTTGGTCCCACTTACTCCTTTAATTCTGTGGAGAATTCTATCTTTACATGTATAAAGTCCTCATCTTTAGCTTTATATTTCCTGCATACAATCTGTGAAAAACTTCCTCTATTTATGAACAACCAGCAATGTGATGTGACTCACAAAGTTGAAAGCTTTTTTCGTTTTAAAACACGGTTAATAAGTTAACAGGATTCCCTGTTTATTAGTAGAGAAATTAATAAGTGTTTTCAAAAGGATTAGATGAATTTTTTTAAAAAAACTGTTTTAGTTTGCTTTTTTTATTGCTGGCCCGACTGTTAATGAAATGTGGATGTACAGGCTGCCAAACTGGGTTTCGAAATTGGACTATCTGATATTCTGAACAAGTTCAGAGAAGTCTCTGGGCTTGTCTTTGGACCCACTCTTATTGATCAGTTTGAAGATCCATGAGGAAATCAAACCCTGCAAGGCCTGGACCAAACGATCTCATTATTAATTATTAGTCTCTCTGTATGCATGCATATTAAACAGCAAGATTCATAAATGGTAAATAATAAGATACAATTATATAATTTTCTCCGCAGGTCCAAACAATATACTGGACAAGATATAATACGTTTTGTTTTAAAGCATTAATTTTTTGATTTGCTCTCCGCCCTAGAGGTGGGAATCAAGACTGACGGGTTTAAAAAGGCCGACCCTTCAGAGCCGAAATTTCAAAAATATCCCAATTTGCTAGACCGGGCCCTTACGCTAACAGGCTCAGGGCCGGCCCGCCGACTTTTGGCCCGTTTAAGAAAAAATATTATTTTTTATATTTCTCATTTTTTTAATAAAAAATAAAAATAAACCAATGAAATTATTAATAAAAGACATAAATATGAATAAAATTAAGTCACAAATACAAAATATCATCATATATAAATATCCATCAACATTCAAGAACATCTAAAATATTCATTTAACAAGATAACAATATCCAAAAGTTTTATCTATAGTGTAATTATGCAATAAATAAACATTATCATTAATCGTTTGAAACTTCATCATCACTATAATCAATTACTCTTCTTTATAAGTGTGTTTTTCCTTCGTAACAAAAATATCAAGTTTTTTTAATATGAATTTTACTTTTAAATTTTGCAATTTAACTATTATTTTACTTTAATGTGAGAAACATTGTTGTTGAAACTCATGAATTTCTAATTCAAATTATAGAATCACAAGTTATATAAGTATAAAAACACTCTATTATCAAATATATATAGTTTAAAAATATCAACACATATAATCTAAATCAAATCATTATTAAAGTCCAAATTAACCCATTTTTGAAAAATTGAATTGAATAAATTGTTATCTAAAACTAAATAAATCAAATCATACTGTAAAATTTAATTTTAAAATGATAATAATAACTAAATATTCAAAATATTATTAACAATGTAAAAAATTAATAATATTAGAATTACATAAAAAAATTTAAAAAAATATATAAAAGAGCCTAAACAGGCCGGCCCTCGGCCCTCCAGAGCCGGCCCTTTTAAGCCCTCGACCCTCCAGGACCAGCCCTTTAGGGCCAACCCTTCAGGGCCTATTTCCCCATTTAAAGGGAAAAATTTCAAGCCTGACCTTTGTAATTTCAGGGCCGGCCTGACGGGCTCGGCCCGTTTTCCCAACTCTAGTCTGCCCACTCATGTTTCACTCTTGTTTTTGATTATGAATTGGGCGAATTCTAGATAACTAGATTATGTATCATATTCTTTAAGACGTTCAAATGCTCAATAGGCACAAGAAAGAAGTCATGCAGGAAAAGATTTACTTCTGTTATGAAAAATGAGAAAAGTACAAAGATTGAAATGAGGGAGATGGAGAAAATAAGAAGAAATTGGAGGAGAAATTTAGGGGGAGTTCTCATTCACTTCATTTCGATCCCATCGTATTCCATTCATAACATAATTTATTGAGATCTCATCATTTTCGCACATTTCAGGTAGTTGATTTTCTTTTGGAATTGAGACATTAGCATTATCTAATGACTCCTCTTGAATTGCAATTCTTTCTTGATTATCCTCGACTTGGCCATCTACATTTTTAGCTCCTTTTCTCTTTCGAGGATTTTTATCTTTGGAACCAATGGGCCTGCCACGCTTCATGCGTGCTTTAGATTCATTTACAATACCAGGTTGTCCAACAGGGACATCAATTTTGATAGGAGCATTAGCAGCTGGAACATGTGATTTGGTCACTTTCTTTGGGTCAGTAAATGCGTCTGGCAACTGATTAGCTAACCTTTGTAAATGAATTATCTTTTGAACTTCTAGTTCACATTGTTTTGTACGAGGATCAAGTTGAGATAATGAAACTTCCTTCCAACTAATCTCTTTTTCCAACTGCTTCTTTTCTCCCCCTAATGTTGGAAATTTTGATTCATCAAAATGACAATCGGTAAATCGAGCCGTAAATAAATCTCCTGTTGATGGTTCTAGATATTTTATTATAGAAGGAGATTCATATCCAACATATATTCCCATCCTTCTTTGGGGACCCATCTTAGTACGTTGTGGTGGAGCAATAGGAACATATACTGTACTCCCAAAATTCTTAGATGGGAGATATTAGGTTCCTGACCAAAAACCAATTGTAAAGGGGAGGACTTGAGATAACTTGTTGGCCTGATACGAATTAGTGTTGCTGCATGCAAAATTGCATGTCCCCAAGCATAATTTGAGAGATTTGATCTCATCAGTAATGGTCTTGCAATTAATTGTAGTCGTTTAATTAATGATTCTGCAAGTCCATTTTGTGTATGAACATGTGCTACAGGATGTTCAATATCAATTCCAAGAGACATACAATACTCATTGAAAGCTTGTGAAGTAAATTCACCAGCATTATCCAAACGTATTCTTTTGATTGGATAATCAGGAAAATGTGCTCTTAATCTAATTAGTTGAGCAAGCAACCTTGCAAATGCTAGGTTTCGAGAGGATAATAAGCAAACATGTGACCACCTTGTTGATGCATCAATTAAAACCATGAAATATCTAAATGGTCCACATGGTGGGTGTATCGGTCCACAAATATCCCCTTATATACGTTTTAGAAATGTGAGAGACTCACTTTCTATTTTTGCTGGTGATGGTTGAATGATTAACTTTCCTTTAGAACATGCAGCACATGAGAAAACATGTGATTGTGGAATCTGTTGACTTTTCAGTGAATGTCCACATGAATTCTCAATTATTTTTCGCATCATAATAGTCCCGGGATGGCCTAACCGGTCATGCCAAATGTTAAATTTATTCTCACTTGTAAACTTCTGGTTTACAACAGCATGTGTTTCAATTGTGCTAATACGTGTGTAGTATAAGCCTGAAGAAAAGGCAGGTAATTTTTCTAGAATGCATTTCTTATCAGAAATTAAGTTTGTGATAACCAAGTATTCTTGATTTCCTTCATTTATTGTTTCAATATGATATCCATTTCTGCGGATATCCTTGAAGCTCAATAAATTTCTATTAGACTTGGTAGAGTAAAATGCATTATCAATATGTAATTTTGTTCCTTCAGGTAGTAATACATCAGCTCTTCCAGAGCCTTCAATCATATTTATACTTCCAGATATAGTCTGAACATTGGCTTCTCGCATTACCAGAGAAGAGAAATATTTCTCATTTCTGAGTATTGTGTGAGTTGTTGCACTATCAACGAGACACAAATCTTCATTATTGATGTCAATAATGGTCATTCTTCATGAAAAAAACATAGGAAAAGATTAAAAAGAAAACATTATTAATAAAAGAAAATATAATTTTATCATGAATAAAAACTCATAATTATATTTATTTTGGGGGTAATAACCTTACAAGTACAGAATTTATTGTGGTAGGTGAAAGAGCACACTTATAAGCAAAACATGAAAATATACTTAATTATAGAAACTCAATTACATCAAGATGACTCATTTTTTAACACTTCCATCACCAATTAAGTGATCAATTCTTCCATCAGGATCGGCAAAGAAATCAGCAACATCCAAGTAAGTAACATCCATGTTGCCATAATCAGAATCGCCTTTTTCTCCTACAAAATTTGTTTCCACCTTTGGCTCTTTGCCTTTATTTTTATTCTTATTCTTATTTTTCAGCGATTCTTGATAGAGGTCAACCAAATGCTTTGGCGTACGACAGGTACAAGATCAATGACCCTTGCCACCACAACGATAACAAAGATTTTCAACATGATTATTATTTCCACTAGATTCTTTTTGGTGATGCTCATCATTATTTGCCCACTTCTGGTGGGAACGACCGCCTCCACGACCACGGCCACGTCCACGGCCACGCCCACAGCCACGACCACGACCCCGTCCACGTCCACGACCATGGCCACGAGTTGATTCAGTTGCCACTACATTCACTTCTGGGAATGGAGTGGAGCCAGTAGGACGGGATTCATGATTCCTCATTAAAAGCTCATTATTTTGCTCAGCCACAAGCAAGCAAGAAATTAATTTAGAATATTTTTTGAAACCTTTCTCACGGTATTGCTGCTACAGGAGCACATTGGATGCATGAAATGTGGAAAATGTTTTTTCTAACATATCTTCATCAGTGATCTTTTCTCCACATAATTTCAGTTGAGAACTGATTCTAAACATTGCAGAATTATATTCGATCACAGATTTAAAGTCTTGTAAACGTAAATGCATCCAGTCATAACGAGCTTTAGGAAGGATTACAGTTTTCTGATGGTCATACCTTTCCTTTAAATTGTTCCAAAGAACAAGTGGATCTTTTACGGTCAAATATTCAATCTTGAGCCCCTCATGCAAATGGTGACGTAAAAAGATCATGGCTTTGGCTTTATCTTGGTTGGATGCTTGGTTGCCTTCCTTGATTGTGTCTCCTAGAC